AAATTTATCGTAAAACAGATTTACAGTGCACCGTTTTTTTTACTGCACAATTTTGGCAGCATCAGCTGCCTGGTATTTGACCGTAAATTTTACGGTACATTTTTATGCGACCGTAAAGTGTTAAAAACTATTGTACTTGACCACACCATTATAGTCATTTGAACAAAGGAAAACATACAACGTACAAAAAAGGTCGGCCGACTATTTTGGGGCTGTTGTGTTGCACTGTTCAACTGACTTTAATCGCGCGTATCTAAAGTGAATAAGCAGTTGTGCGCAGAAAATTTTGTCTGCGGCGAGGTCGGCTGCTCTTGCACCACCCGATGCATTAATATTGGTGACCGTGTTGTCAAAAAAAAGTAAAAAGATGTTATATCTATTTGCATTTCCATTTATATTCCGACATGTCAATTAACTCAAGAACCTTTTTGTTTACGTATGTTTAATTGTTTTTTATTCGGGTTCCTCGATCAGGGTTGATCCCAACGACATCTGTAAGAACAGATATACGAAGTAGTTTTTTTTTTACAATCTCAGCTTATAATACGCGTTAAAAAATAATGAGACAATAAAAACCTAAATTGGCCAGTGACTAAAGCTTTTGAAACACTGATCTTTTGAATATGCCTAAGTAGCCTGGCACTTAATCTTGCAAGTTAATAAAACAACCCCATATGAACTTCTAAATTCACATAGACACTTTTTTACCAAACTCATACCAGGCTAGGGACCGAACAGCCATTCACCGAATTACATATTTTGTTGACTTGTAAAATGCAAATAAAGAACGAAAGGGAATATCTGCTAGTTCTCAACTATAGTTGTTTATAAAGCAACACATTATAACATTTTACAATTGTAACGAAGGTTGCTATATAGGGAACCGCATTAAAAACTGTATAATAGATCATTGCTTTTTTTTCCCCTCGTTCTGCGCTAATAAATTACTCTCAAATTAGTTGTCTTTATGTTAAGCAACTTGCCTATCTTGGAATATACACACTGCTATTATTATGTAACAACAATATTCAATCGAGCAATTTTTAACAAGACCTTTACATCTTCGGGATATTGAAAATGTTTAAGTTCAGAATATATATCTCTACTGGATCCAAAGCTGCAACAGCAGCCCTTGGCATTGATTTATATTTTTGTTCTGTAAAAATTAAAAGTGGAAATAAAAGCCTCGTTATTTTGAATAAACATTTTAAGTCTTTTTGAATGAAGACTAGTCGCCAGTGGCGTCGTGAGGCAGGTACAGTCATTCCTTAAAGTATATAGCTCATCCTAAGTTATAACGGAGACAATATGCTATGAAGAGAAAATTATATTTGAATTTTTTAAACAAAAAGTACCACTCATTAAAATATCGTTTGGTAGCATGTATTCGCACATTACAAACTATATTTGAGTAAGCGAAGGACAGGGAACACGAAATAAAATAATCAGACTTGCTTTTTATTCTACAATATCTCACCATAGCATGCCTCTAGCATTGATAAGAACTCTCGCTGCACAAGTTTTCATGCAAGCAATGGATATTCTAAAACAAGGAGCTCAGTCTGGAGCCATTGCTGAAATATATGTAAGATCAGATGAAGTATACAAAGGAACGAAAAAAAAAAAAAACACACATAATGATGCCAAGAAGCACAAATGAGCTCAATACCTTTGAATAAACTCCAAGGTGATGCATATCACTTCTGTGTACGCAATGTTGAAAACGTAGTACGCGCTGAATAGTACAGCCAGTGCGTGGTCGAACATGTGAATTTCGTCCATCACAGTTATTCCATCAACTGAGATCGAGTACATGCTGGCTGAGTAGACGCTTTTCCCTAGAAAAGAAAGGATAAAACAAAGGACGTGAAGGCAGATATAAAATGTAGGAAATTGCAGAACTATAATTGTAGTTTAAAATCATTATAAAATTATAGGCAATATTGATTACTTGGGGTTCGGAAAGTGATCAGTGAATGCTCACCATGAACTAGAATGCATGGGGAGATGGGCGGTGCATCTTGAATTATGTCAGTTACAGACTGGCCTTACTGACAGGCACCATCACAAAATTACTCCAAAACACCGGGTAAGTGGGACTCGCTGCGAGGCTCGGTAAATACCTGGCCCATAGATTTGTTTTCTAGGGGGTAATTTAGTGCCTCTTTAACGGGGACATGCGGAGCAAACCGGTCCTTTTGACCACAACTACGTCCTATGTACATACTCACCGTTTCCACACAAGGAAAGTGCTTTCTTAAATATGCAGATTTCATGTGTTCTGGAAGAAAAATGGTAGATTTCAGGTTCGTGACATCATTGTATAATGATGTTATGAACTCAATGATGTTATGAACCTCGACTGAACCAAGCACGTTTTGAAGGGTTTCAGCAAGTTTGCCGAACATGTATTGTTTGTACAAGAAATGCCGACGTTGAAATTCATAAATGGTTTTTTGAACTTGATACCGGCATAAGAAGCTTTCCGTTGAACTTCAGGCACAAAAAAAAAAAAGAAAAAAAAAAGAAAAAGAAACAAGGTCGTATTTTACGGCCGTTCTTTTTTCTTCTTTCAGACAGAGACATTAACAGGTCGTAGTTATCATCAGGGGATTGCATCACGTTAACAGCACCGTCTTCATTAGAATCCGCACTAGTCGACCGAGTCAAAGAGTCCTCAACCTGAAACGGGTCTACAGGCGATGCGCCGTCGCCCAAGGAACCCGCCACTCGTAAATGCGCCCAGTTCAAATGTGCCGTGAATTATGGTTTCACACCTTCTGACAGTTGGAGCACGAACACGAAACCAAAATACCGTCGGTGACGTGGCCTTTTAGATGTTTTAGCAAAGCCTCCCTTGTGTGGCACTACTCTAAGCATGCTGGCAAAGTGCACTGAAAGCTTTCCAAACTCCTCGAAGCAAACGGTACTTACCCTTAGGCGTTCAAAATGCCTATGTCTTCTCAAAATATGACACCTGAGAGCATCATACGTAACAAACTAGCGACAGCATCCTTCGTCCACACACGGAAGAATTCGAGAGCTGAAAACGTGCTCATCGAATTGCGCAACCAGCAAGCATGCTTGAACCGAAACTACAAAGTCTGCAAGTAAACATCGTTTAGGGTGTTGCAAGCAGCAGATTGATAATGAAATACCTGTCTCGAGTATCCAGTTGCCTTCCGCTCCAAATTTTCAGGTGCACAAAAATCCGAGAATGCCACGAACGAACGAGGACAAAATAGCGCGGAGACGGGCGGGAAGGCGGGAAAATGAACCGACCAAAAAGTAAGGGCGCGAACGAGCTGGTGTACATTGCACGGGGTTTTTTTCAACCATGAACCGAACGTTCGCTTCTTCCACTTCTTCCCGCGTTGGCCCGACCAACGTTGCTTTCTTTTGTCGACGCTTCTAGCTCGTCGCATAGTTTGCTCTTAGGTCTATTTTTCTTTTTTTTGCACTTAAGGCAGTTACGTTCTGCGTTATCGCGGACAAAGAAAGGAGGTGAAGGGGCGAGAGGAGGCTCTCTGGGTTCCCGCAGCTTCCGAAGGTCAAGCGTGCTTTCTGTTTTCTTGCTCCATGAAGTTTTGCTGTTTCCTCTCGCTCTTTTTTGCTCGTTTACGATGCATTTCAGGTAATTCATCTTCACGGCGTTCTTGCAGTATTTATTAGCCTAGAGCGCCGTAAATTTAACGGTTATTTTTTACAGTGTATGTTAACAAAAGCGGATACATGCTTTGTGTTATAATCTTATATTCGATTTCGCGCTTTATGTTCATTTCGCTGACTAGCAGGCGCTGCCAGTCAAGCTTAAGGTGGCTTCGGCAGGCCTGGTTCTGTATGTTTGTTTGGAAGCGGCAAATACTGATTCAGTTATTGAGTGATTTGTTCATTGATTTATTGAATGGTAATTTTACTGTTTCTTTATGTTGTCACTAACTGCAGAGATTTACGGTCAGCACGATGAAAGAAGCCGCCATGTTCCATGCCGTTCCAATTGTGCAACGCTAGCAGTGAGTGATGCAGGGTTACCCTCGTCCCGCGGGTAGCCTTGACAGGTCAAGAAGGCAGCGGCAAATGCCCCTCAAAGGGAATCAGATATCCCTCCGCCACCTCCGCATCCAATAGCGTCCCATCGTTTCCGTGACGTCGCGGCCAACGCGGGAGGAGAGTCTTGCCTTTCTGTACATATTTGCCTTATCTTTTGTTTTAGACTTAGCGTTGCGGAAGTCACAAAAGAGGGATTCGAGTCCCCTCCCGCGATGGAAACAAATAGGATTTTTTTTTTTTTTTTTTTTTTGGGGGGGGGGGGGGGGGGGGGGGGTTATGTTCCTCCTCCGATGGATACAAAAGGCTACTTTCAGGGGCTCAGTTCACTCTCCAATAATTGTAAAAATCGCTTAAAAAAAAAAAAAAAAAAGGGGGGGGGGGGGGGGTCCGAGACAAGTTGGCATCACTCTGTAGCCAATATCTATCAACTGAAGCGGAACAAGGAGCGTTTCCAGTGAACGATTCTTCCAACTGCGGAGGGATCTGAAACGGGCGCATCACGTTTGTAGAAGGGGCTTCTCTTACCTTCTTGGGACTTGTAACCGACTATTAGCGGCGAGATGTTTTGGTGGCGCCCTCCCATGGCTCCCTTTCGTGACGTCATTACCTTGCGAACAACAAGTTCGATGGTGTTTGCAATGAGCATTGTGGAGGCTTGAAATCGTTATCCTCTCAAAGCGACACTGCCAACACCACCAAAATTCAAGCTCTTACATTCATCTTATTTTCGTCGATGAGAAATCCATTCCTGACGTCATAGTCAGCATTCGGCCAATCAAGGCCGGCCGACCACAGCGACGCTTTTGATCGCGCACGTCGCCAATAGCGCGTTTCGTATTTATTTACTTCCGATTCGAGAATCCGGAACAAGGGGCGCCTCACGCTTGCCCGCTGACAGTGTGTGTACTCAGGTTAAATATAGGCCCTCGGACCGCCGTGGCAATAAACAAGACTTTTCAAGCGATCCAAACGCTACATCGCCCCAATGTTCTTCTACTCGGGCGGCTCCGAACGAAAGCCCGCGATATGGGCCCTGACTGTGCCTCAGCGGCGGCGGGCTGCTTGTTCGAATATGATACGCTCAAGGTGGTTCATATACAAAACAAAAAGATCGGAATACTGAATAGGCTTATAAAACTCATTATTCTGGGATACATCGTCGGGTGAGTGATGGCGTTTTGTTTTAAACCTTTTGTTCGTCTTGACTGTCAACAAAGGAGATTTCGGTGATTAACGAGCCGATGATGATTCTTGTCCACGGGTAACCTCTGCTCTAAGATACCGTATTTACTCGAGGGATCAACGCACCGTTTATGAGCAAAGCCCGCGCGTCCATTTTCCCACGGAGCACGTGGATACCCAATCGTCACTATCGGGAGGAGCTTAGCGACAGCATGGATAGAGATAACGTCCTCCAGCGAAAACGCTGCTTGCGCAGATCGTATTTTCGCGGTGATTAGTATTCTCATGTTAGTTTGCTTTCGGATCTGCTCTAAGGGAGAGACAGTGGACCTCGTTCATACAGAGCATTCTATTACTCTAGCAAATACGGCACGGAGAGGGTCAGCTATATTGTAAGTTGTAACTGGGGGAACAGACCCCTTTGAAAAGTCCGTGTCAACGCCCGTCCGCCATTGCTCGATCACGTACTGTGAGCACCTATTGGACACGAGGGCTGCGTCAGCGCTCGGCGTGAACTGGGCTCAGTTCGTGCTGAAAACGTCATCGTTCGGCAACGACTCGGGTCCAATCGCGCGCCTCGTGTCCAAGCAATGGCGACCGCCAATGCTGCTCAATTAACCTTGTGAAGAAAAAAAAAAAAGAGTATTGCGATTATGCAAGCCCGAAATGTCGGACAACTTCAACATTCTCAATAACCTCGATAGTTGGCCACAAAATAAATTAAATCAAAAAATCTAATTCGCACTACACAAAAAGCAAAAATTCCAAGCCCCGTATTGTGTAAAAGATATATACTTTTATTTTTTTATGAAATCGCTTTATTTTAATTTACGAAGACCGACAGCAGACGATCCGATGAAGCCAATCGGACTGTTCCAAAAGTGCATCGTCGCGGCAATTTTTCGTTCGTTTGCTATATCCCCGGCTAAACTAAACACCCATGCACAGCTGTACAGTGCCCCCGTGATGCTGCGTCTTTTTGTTCGCGATTGTTTTAGCCAGGAATATAGCAAACGGACAAAGATGACGAGCGCCGTGACGATGCCCTTTTTGTGCCGTTTGATTGGCTCTATCCGATCGTATAGTATATGTAGCATCCCATAAATGAAAGGATCTAGTGGGAATATGCGGAGCGCAAGTTCGTCTGTTTCTTTAGCAGGGGTTTTTGGCGACGTCAGAACGCCGAGCTCTGATTGGCTCTGCTTGAAGGATAGGGGGTAGGCCTCAAGGCAGCTAACATTGAGGTCTACCCACTATCCTTCAATCGGAGCCAATCAAAGCTCAGCGTCTTTCTGACGTAGCTGCAACCCCTGCAAAAAAAGCAGACGAACTAGTACAGAGAGCCCGGCGGTCATTCACGCCTAACCTGCCGCAGAAGTTTGTCGACAAAACGTTAAAAAAAAAAAAAAAAAAGTGAAAGCCGTTTACAAATCCCTGTAACGCCGAATTGGAGCGCAGCTCTTGAGGAGGAGGAGTGAAGGGTACTGAGGGGAGGGTAGACCCCTCCTCCTCCCCTCATTCTTTAATATGCTCCGGGGGGGCGGTCACGTGACCTCGGGGGGGGGGGGGGGTTGTCACGTGACTTCGAGGAGGGGGGTCACGTGACCTCGGGGGGTCACGTGACCTGGAGGTCACCTTGGGGTCACGTGACCTTGAGATGACCTTGGGAGGGGTCACGTGACCTTGGGGGTCACGTGACCTTGGGGAGGAGACCACGTGACCTCGGGGGTCACGTGACCTCAGAGGGGTCACGTGACGGGGGTCACGTGACCTTCAAAGGGTCACGTGAGGTCTTGGGGTCACGTGACCTTGAGATGACCTTGGAAGGAGTCACGTGACCTCGAGGGGTCACGTGACCTTGGGAGACGTGGGGTCACGTGACCTTGAGATGACCTTGGGAGGGGTCACGTGACCTGGAGGGGTCACGTGACCTTGTGGGTCACGTGACCTTGGGATGACCTTGGTTACGCCGACGGCGACGGCGACGGCGACGGCGACGCCGCTCAAGCCGGGAACGGGCCCCTAAGAGCTGCGCTCTAAAAAAAAAAACAACGCCATTATCGTGTGTAATTGTGAAGGCGGCTAGATCTAGCGGGGAGCAGACTCTAGCTATCGTTTAGAGGTATTACACACCGCTGGTTCTGCGGAAAAACATTCTCTTCCAGCAAAAAAAAAAAAAAAAGTGTATCTGTATGTGTGACTTGAGAAATGGCATTGTTGTTTTGCGGTTCTCTAGGCAAATATGGGGATAAGTTTTCGTGCGCGCGCAAATGTAATTTTCCTGAGTGTTCAATCGTTTATATATATATATATTTTTCTGAGTCTTCAATCGTTATATATATATATATATATCAGGGTGTCGAACCGGAATCGAACCGAACCGAAAACTGGAACCGAATTGGTATTTTTTCTGGAACTGAACCCGAACCCGAACCGTTATATTGTTATCGCGATGAACCCGAACCGGAACTGAACCGAAAAAAAAAAAAATAACGGTTACCGGCTCATGTCAAAACGGTTTGGCCACGTGCTGTTGACAATGAATGTGCTATCAATGCCATTTGTTTTTTAAGTGCCGTCAACTGTCACACACCTCGCTTACATATTTTTCTTCTTTACTCAGTCTTAGGAATATAAACGCTGCATCCATGAATCTTGACAAACGCTGCATCCATGAATATTGACATAGGAACCAGTATTGCGCTGGTCGCGGCTTGCACGGAAAAAAAAAAATTAAAAGGCTGTGCAAAAAAAAAAAAAAAAAAAAAAATCGCGTCACGGGATATCATTTTCCTACAATCTCGTAAATCCTAAATGCTGCTGTGTCCTCATTTCATAACACGTTTCTAGGACGCGCGAGTTCTTGAAGCTTGCTTCCATCGGATTGAGAAAAGAAAAGGCTGTGGAGTTTGATAATAATGCATTCGGTTTCGTATAGGCACTTAGAAGCTAACTTATTTGTGAGACAGCGAACTCTTCTATTTTAATATTTATCCTATTACGTCCTTCTGGCGTTGCGTTCGGTGAAGTGTTTTTCATATTCCGTATCTTGTTTAATGAAAACTTCTTTAAGGGTCTAATTTGAGTTACCGAAGGCTAGTTCAAATAAAGAAAGCTGTATTTTCTCCCCACTGTTCCTTCAATTGCTTACACGCCGAGGTGGCGGGATAGTTAGCGAGTTCTACTTCTAAGTGGGTTTGTAAGGAGGTCGCGGATTTTACAGCTACTGCGTCGAACCCAATTAGATGAAGTCCGAATGCGTAAACGTCGGTGAGGTAACCTTTGAGTGCACATAAAGAAACCATTCCTGGTAGAAATCCCTGAGCCTTACACTACGATGTATCCCGTTTCGTATGTGCTGATTTCAGATGTTTTATTTGTAATTTATTTTGATGTTTCAATTTGTCATAATTTCCGAACCGGTTCGCGAACCGGTTCAGCGCCCCGAACCGGTTCGCAAACCGGTTCGCGGATCGAATTAATCGAACCAGAACTGAACCGGAACAAAATAAATTTACCTGAACCTGAACCGTAACCGAACCCGTATTTTTTTCGGTTCGACACACTGATACATATATATTTATTTGCAACTCTCGCAAATGTCGGAAAGGGCCCGTCTTCCAAGATATCTAGGGAGCGACTCCTTCCCATAGGGACAGGCTGCACCGAATATATTTCCTTTTCCCTTTCCCTAACTTTAATGCAATAAATTCAATAATCACATTTTCCCCTCTTCGCTCACAATATTGCTACGGCTGCACTTGCCAATCTTCACTCATTCCCATTATATATACGGTGCAGCCTGTCCCCATGGGAACGAGTGGTTGGTTCCCTAGCTAACTTGGAAGACGGGCCCTTTCCGACATTTGCAAAGCTGAGATGACGTGTCACGTCACTGTCGCAATTCGGAACTAGCGCGGGCCTTAAATCAGCAACGGTTGTCTTCTACCCAGTTAAGCGAATTCGAAACTAAACAGTACACAGAGAGCTGGTCAGAAATTGAGTCCGCCGAAACCAGTGGCCGGGATGGTCTAATCGGTTAAGGCTTCGCCCCGAACAGCGAAGGTTGCGGGTTCAGTCCCCGCTCCTGGCCCAATTTTTCGCCAGCTCTCTTTCCCTTTCCCTTTCCCTAACTTTAATGCAATAAATTCAATATTCACTTTTTTCCCTCTTCGCTCACAATATCTATATATATATATATATATATATTACGCTATTCAGAATTGACGCAAAGTGCTTCACTGCCTGCCTTTTTTTTTTTTTTCAGAACAAAAATTGTATTTTTCTTATAGGTATAACGCTCTTTCGTCCTGAAAGAGCGCATACATCATGGTATGTTAAATACATAAATATATCTAGCGGGTTTTTCCCGACGTCCTAAAGTGATTCTATTCAAATTGGTGCCTGCAATGCAAATATAAGGCGAGTAAAATTTCGGCATTACCTTCGCAGGAGTTGGTCTTGACAGCAAGACAAGGAGTGCTGTCGAGGTTACACGCGCTAGTTAGTTAGTTAGTTAGTTGGCGATACCTAACCCCTTTTGAGACAGGGGGGTCAGCAAAAGTTCAAATTGCCGACACAGGTAAAAGTTTTAGTTCTTGTTTTGTTTTAGCTTTTCCCACTTTTGGCACACTTTCACTGGTTGGCGATCAGACGTAGTCTCTCCCATTCAACGAGAATGCGCCTGGTGGCTAGTGAACCGTGGGCTCCTTCCCCGAATCCCAGCATTTCGGGAATCCTCTCTTCGCTGTTCGCCCAGGGCGGTCGACAGTGGTCTAGGGCAGGGTACCACAGCAGCACGTGGAGGACGTCCTCGCTTGACTGCCCGCACAGATGACAGGCTGTGTCGGTGTCTCCGAAGAGTTGGGCACGTCGGCAGCTCATCACCTGGCCGCTAGATGGCTGCACTAGCAGCATATTCGATTTTCCATGCTCTGAGGATAGGATTCGAAAACGCGAATAAGAAATATATTTTCTCGTTAAATTAACCTTATAAATTGGAAACACTGGTCTGACAACATTAATTTTTTTTTTTTTTTTTTTGCGTCATTTAGCGTGCGGCAGTGAGCTAGCATTGAACGCAAGGCCGATACTTGATGTGAAGTGCGTGGGAAATCAAACACCTGTTTCGCGCAAACAGTGTATGAATTTTGACAATAACTTTATTGGTTCCCATCGGAGCAATCCGCAGAACATTGTCGGCGCCAGCAATGCGTTTTCAGACGTGTACATTGACAAAATATTTCGTTGAAATACGTTCGGAACTTGCAGGGTTGGACCACAGAAAGTTAACATTCAGCAGATCATATTGCATAACTCAAGTTATGCAATATGATAATTACTTAATTGCGCAGGCTTCACGCGTACAAGCCCAAGACAGCTGCCAAAGTGCACCTAGATTACTTCTCTGAATCAGCAGATCGCTTATCATGCCAACACAGTACGGTTGGGGTCACCAATATATTTAAATGAAAATTACCTAGCTTGTACATATAGGCATATCGTAAAATACCTATCATAATTATTGAGAATTCGATGTAAAAGCAAAATTATTGAATAAACAGTATAGCGAAGGGTATGAACCTTAGTGACTGTGAATTCAACATTTAAGTACGAACACAAATAGTGCTATATACGGACAAATAAAGGTGTAGGGGGGAACATCACGAGTGCTAACATGACGCTTTACACCTCCTTGTTTTTTCGTGCACATTAAAACGTCAGCTGTTAGTTAGCGCTTGTCCTGCTGATTTCTTTCCCTGGACCCTGCCCGTAGCGTTATCTGTGTTCTTGCTAAATGTTTGGCGAATTAGCCCAACAGTTCATGTTCGCACGGGCCCATAAGAGTGTCTCTTGCTGTTCGCCCTCCCCGATGATTGCTGACTTCAAACGTGTGCCTTTCAATCCGTCACAGATATGTGATTGTCTACGAAAAGGGCTACCAACAGTTCAGCACCTTCAGCTCAGCGTCGACCACGAAGGTGAAAGGGGTGCTGTCCACGGAGGTGTTGCCCGATGACGCATTTCACGACTTCATCGTCGACAAGTCTGTCTACAAGAAAGTCTGGGACTTTGCCGACATAGTCTACCCTCCAGTGGTGAGCCATGGCCTACAAAGGCTTTTGCTTGTTGTGTTAGTGTTCGATCTGCATCGATCAGTAGGACAATATCAAAATGTGCGAGGTGATTTGATATTAGATGGTGTTTAGTAGATTCATCACAGTAAGGTCGATATTTTGAACTCCGCGATAAAATATAAACAAAATAGCGTTCCTTTATATCCCTTTCCTCGCAGTTTACATTATAATGTTTACTAGCTATCTCGCGTGTATCCTTTTTCTTTTTCGACTAGGAGTTTTCTTTTTGTTTTTGATACCTAGAAATAAAAGTGTTCTACCTGATTTACTTCTACCAAATCAGCAACGAACTTAACGAACGCCCAAACTAGGAGCCCTTGATTTAAAATAGGGATGCTTGTAGAGAGAGGCAGACCCTTCGATCGACGTATCAACACCGACAAGGTCCAAACCACGTGCTCTCGATAGGCGAAGCAAGGCAGTATGTGGAAAAAAAATCGCGGCTGACAAAAACTTGTACCGTTTTTTTAAAAGAAATATTATCATTTATTTTTTTTATTTTTAGGAAAACGGACTCTTCTTTGTCACCACCAATCTCGTCATTACGCCCAATCAACGAATGCAAGCTTGCCCCGAGGTAAGTGTACTTTTGTAGGAATCCCCTCGCTATTCGTGCCTTCCGTGGATCAAGAGACGTAAGTCAATAGTCCACGAGTCTTCCCTTCGGTATGACTGTCTATGAGTTTTCCCTTCGCACGACTGTACGTCTCGCGAGTCGCAACTCATGCAAAGCCGCGATATGTACAGTCTTGCGAAGAGTTATTGTCACGTCCTACTTCTCAGCTCATTCTCTAACATAGCCTCCTATATACTGACAAAGCCTGGCAGATCGCCACGAGAAGTGGCCACCGAAATGGAAAAGGTGGAACGGCAGACAACGTATGAGAAGAGAGCCCGCTGCGGCGAGACGCCGAAACACTTCTCCCGAGGGAAGAAGTGTGTTTCGGGTCATTGGGGGGGGGGGGGGGGGGGGGGGGGGGGGGGGGGGGGGGCGCTGCAAAGGCTGTGCGCTGACGTCCAAGTTCGCCGAGAAATGGCTCTTTGATGCTCTGTGCTACCAGATCCTCGCGCTCCAAATCTGCGACCGGGCACTCTGTGGCTCCGTCGTCGAACTGCCTGGCTTTGAGAGTATAGAGGAAGCTATGTCTCTAAGCTACGCGATAGACAGGCCGATAAGCGCATAAGCACAAAGGCACGCTTCACACATCGTGCGTTTGGGTATGACCGTGTGCATCGTGCCCGTTTGTAACCGCTTACGGCGAGAGAACGCCAGAGAGAGCCCTTATTGCAGAGTGCGTCCAACGGCTCAATCGGGGTTGGTTTATGGGCCGCATTTGCAACACAAGCTGCGAGGATGTGCCAAAAGCGTCGATCGTCTGCAAACGACTCTGCCTTTCCGCCTGCTTTCCTCCTCGTCACGCAAAAACGTAGCGCATGCTCACTTGCGACCGATCTCCGCAGGATGGGCGTCCGCCATTAAATTGCGAACGCTCCCCACGGTTAGAGATGGACCCTCTCTACAATCCAGGCTCTCTAGAAAACGCACTGGCACACTGGCGCCGTCAATGCGGTAGCCTCTTGGAAACTTCCGAAACGCGCATATACTGCATACTGAAATTTCCGGCGTGTTATTCTTTCACTTTGGAGATTAAAATAATTCTGCCAATGTTAGAAGCGACCATTGGTCACACGCAGTGCGTACAATAGGTCTCGCAAATGCTTCAAAATCCTTCAGTCAAGTCATATGCAGATCGCAAGTCTTAGAGGGTCACCTGACAGGGGGCGCAACAGCAGCCCAGTGCTTTCTAGAGAGTATGGAGTACCCCATGCAGAGCGGAAACAATTGCAGACTCCAGCAGTTAAAAGCTCTCTGTAATACCGACTCTCTAGTATTCGCTCGTTGTAAGCGGTCACAAGCGGGCACAGCGCACTCAGTCGCAGCCCAACGCCAATGTGGGAATTATAACCGTTAGGTCTATCCCATACGTTGTACGTGCGCCTGTCGTACCAAATATTTGCTCCGATTTAACGCATTTCCATGCTTTCAGACAGAGCCATCGACAGCAGAAAAGGTCACAATCTAGGTGAAGCGATTAACTCTTTCTGTGACTGCACATAAATAACCCACCACCGTTTTGTTTTTCTTTTACTGACTTCCTTAGAATCCTGTAGTTAGAACTACAATAACGCTTTATTAAATCTGGAGGGTCTAGTTTTTCTTGTGTTTTTTTTTTCAGTGACTGGCGTTCCCAAGGGCTTTGCGGCGAAATAGACGCACCAGACTTATTCGAGGGTGTATACGGCGAGAGGGTGCTCGAAAATCCATGTATGTCGCATAAGAACGCAAGGAAAAGCACGCCACTCAAAGGGCAACGTAGAGAACGCCCAGGGCACCTGCGATGTGACGATCGAGTGACGAGCCAAACACGCGATGTGATTGGTTGAGGCCGCGGAAGTAAATAAAAGGACGTAGGCGCATTTGGCGGGTAAATGAATATACGATGTGCGCAAGGGGCGGCAAACTTGCGTATAGTCACCGGGAGTATACGAAACGTAGGGCGTGGCTTGTTGTTACGTTGACGCTTCTGGCTTTTCTGATAGGTTCTTCGGCGTTCTTATCTGCTAATGCCGCAATTTTATTGGCTGCCGTCCAATAATTTGTGGGGAAAACTGCTCATTCGGGGCACTTGCCTAAGCGGCAAGGTGTTGGTGCCTCGGGTATCTAGATCAGGGGTCTCCAAACTATTTTGACTAAAGGGTAGGATCGGGGATCTGTCGCTCTTTTGAGGGCCAGAAAATAAATAACCAAATATAAATCCCGAAACACTACATTAATAATCGTAAGTACATATATCAATACAAAAGCTAAGAGAAAAATGAAAATTAAAAAAAAGAAAATAATTCAAGGTAAATGAGTACATGTACTTTTTTTTTTTACCAATATCTAGCTCGTTATGATATTACGCAATAATTGGGACCCGGAAAACTCACCGGGCATAAATCCAAGTAGGAAGTTTGGTGTGCTGACACAGAGCAGAAGACTAAAGAAAATCACATAATTAATGCTGACAACATACGACACAAGACAACGAAAAAGAATTTCAACGTGAGTATAGTTACCCAGATATGAAACAAATAGTGAAGCTGGTAATGACAAGGTCAACTGAATAATATACTGAGAGGACGCAAGTTACTATAGTATTTTATATATATATATATATATATATATATATATATATATATATATATATATATATATATATATATATATATATATATATATATATATATATATATATGTATATATATTTTATCTTTGTTTTTGCGGTGAAAGTGGGTGCCGCGCGACGTAGGGACGTCAGCACGGGTTGTTATGGATACTGCCGTGCGGTGCTCGATTTCATCGCTCAAGCAGGGGGACACTTGAGCAATGGAAACGGGCGGTCCCGCGCTTATTTTGGCTACACGGTAGCAGCGGGCTCGCTGGAAGCGGACCGTTGCTGCTGGAAGCGGGCCGCGGCCACTGGCAATCAGCCATCGGCCAAACATTGGCCGATGAATGGCCACTCTTTGGCCATTGGCCAGAAGACCATCGCCAGCCGTTGGCTAATGCTTGACCAAATTTTGTGCTGCTTGGGCAGTTAGTGTGACGATATTACATAAAGGCGTGGTTATCAGAATCGATGTTCTAGCTAGCACTTAAAGCAGCAATTTGTGTTCGTTGCTGTTTTTTCTTTTTTCCCGCAGGCACCAATTGTTGTAAGTGCAGCGCACGATTACTACTTCAAATTATATAGAAATTTGATTAAATGCATGATATGCATGCCATAAATATTTGTGTGCATTTCCGTCTCATATGAATTAAATGTTTTGTTTTTAATGCAAGCCCCCAGGCCTAGCTGTTCATTATAAATCTTCAAAGTAAATCGCGCATCTGACGGTTCGTTTTTTTACTTGTGATTCGGAATTGGGATTCCTCCGAAGAATAACAAATCTTTATTTATTTTTTTCGCAGAACGTAAAAGTAAAGCAAGCACGCTGCCAGTCAAGGAATGATACCACATCTTGCAAAGCAGGGAAACCACTTTGGCTAGGAAATGGTGAGAGTCAAACTATCTTCATTGCTTGATCGTTTCAATTACGTTTCTTTTCTTCGTTAGCGTTTCATTACAAACATTTTACAAGAGGCACATGCCACAGACTACAGTACAACAAATATAAAAAAATAATAACGATTCTATGTTGAATACAATAAGTGTCTTGTTAGAGAGTTTTGACGAAGTGCGAATGTAATTCCAATATGAGTCGATAGTTTATCTCAAAAAGATTAGCCAAAAAAAAAACTGAAGTTTATTAGTCATTTTTGGGCGCGTTGGTCATTTGAAGGGACCACATAAATCAGTTTCTTAATGTATTGCCTACGATTTACAGCAAGACTGCCTGAAGATGCTGCATTTATTATTTGAATGCAGGCAATTTAACTTTACCAAATCAAAAGAGAAAAACATTTTTTTTTTCATATCATGAAACGTCAAGACATTTTTTTTTTTGCGAAATAGTTAAATAGAATTATGTGCCACTTCGGTATTTACTACATCATAGAGAAGGGTGGAAGGAAAGAAAATAAAATTGGCTTACATTTTATCCACTTTATGTTGCCGAAATAAACGCCCATAGGATATATATATATATTTCCTTCGTTATTGTTTTACTCAGTGGCACTCACGTTCCCTAATTGTATTCAATAATTCACCGTCTAATTACATCGCAATCTGTTAAGGAAGGGGGTAGGAAGCTTCTGGAGGCGACATCACGCCGCCAGAGGTGAAGCAAGAAGTGAGGGACACGTCCCCAACGATGACCAGAACAAGGAGACGCTATTGGACGAAAAGGAGAGAGAGCTCTCCTTTCCGTCCAATAGCGTCTCTTGGTTTTGGTTATCATTGGGGGTGTGTCCCTCCCAGTGGCAGACGGGCCTATGGGCCCACGCCCACCCATTGCTTCTTTTTCCTTTTCCTACATCTCCAACACACGCACACACCCTCCCCACTCCTGGCTTCACGTCTGATGGCGTCATGTCGCCTCCAGAAAATTTCTACCACCATGGGTTTCTTCAGTGGGTCAACCAACATGCCACCTAGAAGACAAGGCCTGAAACCCCCCTCCCAATCTCCCTCTCCAAACGTCGTCACTTGTAGTCCCGCGCAGCACCGCCTAGCTCAGGTCAGCGTCGCCGCCAGCGCGCTTGCGGCGTTTCACAACATCCACGACGCAAGCAAGTAGTGACGCCAAGACGGACGCGTCTGCCGCAAGTTGCGGCGTCTCTCGTCGAGCTTGAGCTTGTTTACCGCTTGGGGCGGGCCGGAGATCCACTAACGACGACGTCATGCGCAGGCCTTCTCTTTTAGGTATAGCATTGGGTCCAGGCGCAATCTAGCCCACTCTGTAGATTGCGGAAGGAGTTTCTCGTTCGTTCTTTGTCATCCCACACGTGTATACTCCGCACTATCGTGAAAACTGTCTTGGGCAAAGTGTTTTCATTTCCCTCTCAGACGTCGTCCTGAACAATGACGCGGGTCCAACGTTACGCAGGTCTCATGACTGGACGATGTGTACAAGCACCACCGCCCAACCAAACACTTTACGTCTGCGAAATATTCGGCTGGTGCCCCGTGGAGCAGGATTATGGCCCACTGTAAGACGCAGCCAGCTTCGGCACCTACTCAACAGTTACATAATATTTATCTGGGCTCTTCTTTTTGTTGTTTTTTTCTTCGTGGTTTTAGGAGGAACGGGACACCGCTATTTAAGGAAGTCCGCAATTTTACTGTGCTCCTTAAAAACTACATTGAGTTTCCACGGTTCCATGTTAGAAGGTGAGTTGCACGCTTTTTTTTTTTTCTTCTTTTCTTTTCTTTTTCTCTATCATTTCTTGTTTAAATGAGCACCGAAGTCTCCGACGATGCGGGCGTTTTGAGCCCTACCAGTATCACCCTTTGTAAGGACGCTTGCTTTGAAGGGCAATTCAGCACAAAGCGTCACAAACCATGTCACTAAAAGAAAAAAAAAATCATTTGAGTTTAGAGACTCAAATAAATCGTACTAAAATATCAATAAATCCCGAAAAAAAAAAAGTCCCAGCATAAATATTTACTTTAGGAGGTGATAGGTGCTTATGACCACACTTTCGAAAAACTGCATTTGTTGACACTGGCATAAAATCAAACGAGACAGCTAATGCCACAGCCAAATTAAGACGTCAACAATCGTTTATAGTCAACACAAAGACGTACGAGTCAAGGAATTTCAAAGCTGAATAACAGGAAAGAAGACAACACAAAGAGACAACATGATTTCTTGTGAGACCACTGGGTGCGCTGCCCTATACGTGCGCCTTGTTCAGGTGTTATTTCAAACGAAGAGACTTTGGCTTGTTCGTGTCTCGCCTGTTTCCTAAAAAACAGAAACGGTGCGTTTTGCCTCAGCCTCAGTTCCTGACCGATTGTTTACTATGGTGCTTAGCCAACATCCGTTTCTCGTACCTTCTTGCAGTTTCTGTTCTCGACGAGTTTCCCTCTTAGAGTTTCATCAAGTCTCCCCAGCCAACCAAAATGTTTTCTCTGTAGACTGCGTAATGTTTGTTATTACGAAATGTTCGTTATGAAACAAACAGTTGGCAATACCGACTAAAATTATCAAGCGCTACCATAGCAACAGATCGAGAGAACTCTATGGGGCAATAACCATCTTGTCTCAAGGGGAAACTTGCATAAGCACACCATCAATAGCGTTGTCTGAGAAAGAGATGGATTGTTACCTCAACCTTTTTTCTTAACCTGGGTCGCTTTAATATTTTCTAACTTCAACTTTTTCCTGGTTTGCTTTCAAAATGTCTATACTTCTCAATTTAGTTTTCTACCGCGCTCTTTCTCTCTTTTTTCGTTTTTCTTTGCTAGTGTAAAGGGGTGAAGTTACATTTAATTTTTAATTTCTTTAATGCATCTATAATCTATAACATTAGTTTTTCTCTTTCTACCTTCACATTTCCTTTTTGTCTTCCTCGTTGATTGCATTAAACAGTTGGATTAAGCGCTCTGTCCTGGCCAGTCGGAGTTTGCGAGACGCTCATTTCTGCGATTTGAACCTGCCGTTTTTGCCGTGGAGCCGTGTGCTGTTCTCGTGTTCCCATGTTGGTGTGCATAGTTAACGTTCGTGTGCTCGAGTGGGCGACAGTGTGCGTGGACGTGGACTGGTCCGAGGATAGGCCTAAGAAGCCGGTGACGAGCATCCGCTCGTCACCGGGTCTGCCGCTCGACGGCGATCGTTCGGTCGGTTCAGTGGCATAGGTTTCGCCGTCCAAGAAACTTCGCTGCTTCGCCCGTACTTGACACTGAAAATGTCTTCACGGTCTGTGTGTGCTCTGTTGTCGGAGTATTATCATGGAGCTGTCTTCAGTCGTGACAGTGACCGTTCAAGCGTGAAGTCCCGACACGGAAGCGGAAATGCACACTCTAAAAAAAGGGGGTGTAGACGCTACACCCCTTGTCACATATACGACACCCCAAAACTTTAGTTGGATGTACAGGGCACTGGCGTTGTACCGACGCTACCAAATTTCACGAGCGGCTTGATAGCCGAGTTGTACAACTCATTAAAATGGTTAATGTAAGTGTGACGGACTGCAAAAAAAAGTTATCGGGGTTTTCTAGGCTCAACTGGCAAAACCTGTGTGTTTTTTTCCTGTAGACTTTGATACGTACTTTAGCTGTTTCATATGTTATACCGCACCGTCATCAATCCTCTCGCAAAAGTTGGGGCAGTCAGTGCGACGTCAGCGCGCTGTACGTCGAACTGCAGTCTTGGGGTGTCGTATGTGACAAGGGGTGTAACGGCTACACTCCCTTTTTTTTTAGAGTGCAGTGTAGAGACGATGCGGTTGCCATGGAGGCGCGCATGTGCAAAATGGGGTAGCATATGTGGGGAAGCAAGAACCCGCTGGGAACCAATGGGGACGCTGTTTTAGAAACTGTCGCAAATAATTACTACGTGTACCTGTACTTCTTAGTAAGAGGTACATCCCCTGGAATGTTTAGCAACAATATTGAAGAATCAATATTGGTGAGAAAGCTGCACCATATTCGTAACATCGTTTACGGACGAGGTAGTTACTGACCAACCGACTTCTTTCGAATAATCAGTATAAAAGATGGGTGGGTAGCCATTCGGGGTAGTGATTGGGTTAGCGTGTCGTTGCGTGTATGTTGTGCGTGTGTGGGTCTTCTTTGTTGATTCATTGTCTGTATTAAATGCATAATACGTATGGAAATTTGAATGTAGCAGTGTGAAAAAAATATATACTCCGTGACAAAAATTTTGTTGCCAATTTTGAATTTGACGTTGACTAGCGCCACGCAGGTCTCGCTACAGTTAGTGCCAGTTACTAGCTATAGGTAGTGAAGTATACTAGGTTGGTTAAGAACCGTTACTAGCTCCTTGAGCTGGTAGGGAGTTTCAGGGAACCGTTTATGCACATCCGAAACGGTACGGTGTGCCGTCCAGTACGAACTGCGCATGAGCTACCGGAGAAGACTCCCATATGCGCAGTTCGTACCGGAGGGCCCATCGTACCGTATCCGATGTGCAAAAACGGTTCCCTAAAGCACCCTAGTAACCGTTACTAGCTTAACCGTTACTACCTACGGTTACTATTGACGCCTAGTAATATGTGTGACAAGCGGTTTTCAGTTTTTATTTTTTTAAGAGTGTAGAGTCCCATGCATTAGCTGGTATCAACCGATGGCTGCCGGTGGTGTCGCTTGACCCCGGAAAGACAAGCTTCGATCCGCGATCCAGCCTACTACACAGTAGAGATCAGTAATAACACTGCTCACATATACAAAAAAAAAAAAAGCGGCGTTAGGCGTAGACGTATAATGACAGGATTACCTGCGGGCACGCCTCCACGCACGTTGGAAGCCCGCTTGCTTCGTACATTTATAGGCTTCGAACTTGTCTTCGGACAGCTTTTGTAGGGCCAATGTGACAGGGCCGTTGTGCAAGAAAGGCCTCAGACAGTGTCTGCAAACCGTCCGAGCACCGCAGCTTGACAGAACAACAGGCACCACTTGTAGGAAAACGTTTCCTAAATCAATCTCTTTGCGTCGTGCGATAGATTAAACGCGATCGAGCAGCGAGCCATCTCGCCAGATTTCAACGACATCTTGTTAATAGAACAACCCCATCGAGCAACACTGGTCTTAGAATCGAAGGGCGGGAGGAATCGTATGTTGGTCTTTTTAGCCTTAGGCTAGGTAGCGCAAGCTACCGCCCGTTACAAAGGGTATAGCCATTAACATTCATCCATCCATTCATTGGGCGCGAAACGTGTGGTTCGATCCGAGTCCTCGCCGAACGCTGACGGAGCGCTCGTTCTTGTTGCGAGCTTAGCCGAGTTCACGCGGAGTGATGACGCAACCCTCGTGTCCAATACGTGCCCAGAGTACGCGTGCCCAAAACAAGTGTGGTTTCGGATAATTGGCGCAGCAGTTACTAGATGGCGCGCGCATTTGAAGGGGACTCGAGGAACTCTAAACGGGACGTATTGTACTTGCAGGAGGAACATCCCGGATCAGAAGAATAAGACGTACCTCAGGAACTGCCGTTACGATAACCTCACAGACCCTCTCTGCCCCGTGTTCCGAATTGGAGACATCGTTGAAAAGGCCGGCATTGAGTTCGACGAGATCGCAATCAAGGTAGGGTCGAGGAAAATTGGTCAGAATTGAAATGGCCACGCGCCTGCTCAATCGCGTCTTCAGAATATTCGGAGGATCTCTAGTGACGTACCTCGAGACTATACAAAGCCCTTAATATCTTTATTTAATAAAGCGCGTTTATCCCCATAAGTTGTCCGTCCGTTCTTCCGTGCGTTTCCCTGGAAAATTTAACGAAAATAGTAAACACTGTTGTATTCACTCCCCGAAACGATTTTTTAATGTCCTCTACGCAAATTTAAATGGTCGCTCCTTAAATCCTGCATTCCACACAATATAGGTCTTCGGAGGTAAAGGTATCGGGTCATTTTGATTTGTGTACGTTTCGATTAAAACCCATCTAAAACTTAAAATCTGAAAGGCCGAGTTGCTTTCTTAAAGAGTGGTTCAAGTTATACTGCGGCGTATTTATATTTCATTACGAATACACCGTATTTATGTTTAAAACTGCCATGTATTTCAAATATAAATACACCGTGTATATCTTTATAACGGCTCTAAATAAATTTAAATATATTGACAAATTTATTTTATCTTTTGAAGCGATAGGAGAAAAGTTTCTGCTCCCTTGTTTTCTTCTAAATACAGCACACCTGAGCAGGAACACTTAAGCGGAAACGTTGAAATAATATATATATATATAAGCGCATCATAAAAATGTCAATAGAATAAGTAACAATCTGTAAGCGATATCAGTGGTATTACGAAATATCAAAAGCACCATTCCAGGCTACTTGGGCTCACGCTTTACAGCGTGAAAAACTCATGCTGTAAAAAAAAAAAGAAGAAACTATATGATCCAAACAACAGCAGACATTGTTATATTTTCAGGAATAATTATAGACGACAATAATACAGCAATAAATATTACTAACTAAAACCTCAGAAATACATACGTTTGATTACTAGTTCTCGTGAAAATGGAGCGTGCTGGTTAAGATGCGGTGTTAGGGGAGAATAACATAGTGGACAAAAATCGGACGACCGTGGGGTCATGCGGACCACCTTTGTAATATCATGTACATTTCTGCTTGTATTAAAGAAGAACCGTGATATTCCCGAAGATTGTAACAGCGTCGGAATCGTAGCATGCATCTAAATTAATATTGGTTTCATAAGAGAATATTTATTTTTCTGGAAAACACTGAATGTGCCGCACGCTTGCTCACGGTTCTGGATCTCATTGCGGAGGACTATTTTAGTAAATAAAACGCAAAAAAAAAACAAAAACAATTGCGCTACGGAAGCGAAGAGATAGACAAGCGTAATTCTTCTTGACAGGCTCTCCATATCATCCAATTATATCAGCACACCATCGTATATATTCGTTTAAAAAGCTTTTAAATACGTTTTTTAGACATCCACTGCCACAAATACGATGCAGGTGTTTGTTAAGACCCTGGTTTAAAATTTTTAAAAAGCCATGTCACGACCTATTAAACGTTTGTGTTTTTTTATCAAAGTGTTGAAGGCATAAACTCATTTTCAGATAACGCTTTTTTTACTTCTTTTTATATATGGTACTTACAGAGCTGCTGGGGGTGACGTGAGGTTCATGTGATGGTGGCCAATCGGCTCACCTTCCTACCGTTAGGATTACGAAATTGCTGCACAGGGCGACTTTAAACTTACTCATTGACTCACTAATTCAGTAATTTATGCATTGAATTGTTTTTTTTATTGCTCAGTGAATCACATTGATCTACAAAATAGCTTATAGTTCGATACACTATGATGCGCTACAAATGTTACAATCAAATAGATTTTGTGCATTATGTGTTATCATGAAAAAAAATAGTCTTGCGCGTATTACTGCGCGCGTATATGCACGTAGATTCAAAATATTACTGCAGAATTAGTGGTTTAAGAACTGCTGTTTTAACGAGGGTATAATGCAGCGTGTATTCAGAATCTTTGTCCATTCACAGGGAGGGGTGATCCAGATCCTGATTGACTGGGATTGTAATCTCGACTTCTGCCTGGAGGCCTGTGTGCCAAAGTACTCCTTCGTCCGGCTTGACGACCCGAACGTCGCCCTTTCTAAAGGATGGAACTTCAGGTAGGCAACGTACAAAGCGAAGTCAGCGAAAACAATAGAAAACAAGGTCCCTTACTGCCCAACACGTTGCGGAATAGGCACCCCCATTCCATTCCAATTCCATTCTGGGGAATTAGAGTTTGCGATAATTCAATTCCTTTCAACTCCTAGGAATTGGGACACTGGGCCCATTCCCACTCCTGGAATGGCTGAATCGTTCCATTTCATTTCTCTAATTCCTAAGCATAAAAATTGGCTCTTGACAGCTACATTGTGTTGCCGGCATAAGCACCATAAAGCTGACATTATCAAACGCAAAGACAATTGCAACAAAATACAAAATGCCTAAAAAAAAGCAATGATTTTACTAAGCAGAGTGCTGGTGGCACAAAGTGTTTGTTTACATTGTACTGCAAACATCGAGAAAGCCTTTTGATATGTCGATGCTTATTTTAAACATCGGTCGTTCGACCACGTGGCTCGCAACAAACAGCAAAACGTAAATCCACTAATTTTCTTTGGCAAACTTTTTTTTGCAATTGTCTTCTAGGACATACGCGGCCAGCGTGTTTGTTTGATAAGACCATAAAAATATCCAGTTCGTGCGTGGCGCAGAAATAAACTATATTAAGTACTGTATTCTTCACCTACCTGCACAGCTATACGGTTAGTACGCTGCTGGAAGCGACTCCATGCACAGTGGCAGGAACACATCCTCTGACAAAGTGCAACCTCTACGGCGCAGCACGAGAGACCATGTCATGAAACAGTCTTTCTGCAAGTCTAGTCAGTTCGGTCACGGAACAAGAGCGGGGAAGACAATCTACTTCAGCTTACGATGGACCGCAACAGACAGCACGAGAGCCATCGAAACCAATCCAGCGCCTTCTGAGTGTCGCGTGACCCTGGGGCGCAGCAGCGCGCCGTATGTGTAGTCCCGCTCACGGTGCTGGATTGCCTGGGGTGACTCTTAGCGTCCGCAGCGGTTCATCACAAGGTGAAACAAAGTAGGCAGAGTCTAAAGTCGAAGGAAATGAGCGGGAATCCGCTAGCTTGCCTGTAACAAGCATCGGAACAGGGATGGGCAGTATTTCAAATACAAGTATTTAAAATACGTATTTCAAATACTTTGTGTATTTTGCATTTGTATTTGATTACAAATTGGGTAATGTATTTGACGTGTGTATTTAAATACTAAAACGTGGATATTTCAAATACAATTGTAATTAAATACAATTTTGTAGGCGAAAATACATCCCTCAAATTTATTGTCACTGTCCAGAGCAGAAAGAAAACTACGTTCTGCACCGAATGCAATTTCTCTCAATCAAGCACGAGCGTTTAGTGACTTTGTGATTACGGTGTTAGTCCAGAGCAAGACTAGAGACGAAATCGACGTTCACAGGCAGACGGGCTAAATAAGTGCCTGTGACAACTTATGACGCTTTCCAGCCTGATTTCCGTCCATATTTTTCCCTAGAACATTCTCAACCCGCGGGTCGTCCAGATTTTCGTAACTGGTGCGAGTTGCAACAATAAAAAATTCTCTAGCTAGTGCTGCGCGTCTTGGTCGTCTCGGTTCTTTGTAGGTCTACACCAAAATGTAATCGACAAAAAAAAAAAAAGCTGCTTGAAGCTCTGTATTTCTTTTCACGTATTACGTCCAAGCTGATTACCTCTTTTTGTGTGATTATATTTCTACTACGTTACTAGAGCCTCGCACACTAACTCCCGAGTGTGCGATGCAAAATTAAAGTGAGATACCCAGAAACCCGTTGCAGGTGCCCTAAAGTCGCTGACGTAAATTTTGAGGAATGTATTTGGAAAAGTATTTGGAGGAGACCAAATACATTTGGTTGTATTTGTATCTTGTACTTAAATGCTTTTTTGGGAATGTAATTAGATTTGTAATTAAATACATTTTTAACGAAGTATTTTGAATTTGTATTTCGATACATATTTGCATGTATTTTGCCCATCCCTGCATCGGAACAAAGACCAAGTAAAAGGCGGACTTACACGTAAAAATGCAGAATAATAAAACAAGTGTCGGAGCAAAGCGCAAGAGGAGACGAGAGAAGTGAATCTTGCTTTGTTTTATTGTCGAAGCAGACCCACAGTTCGCAGTTCAAAGGAGTGCGCGCGAATGAACGTGGAAGGCAGCAGGTTTGGCCGCCTGCTAAACAACGCTCCTCGAACTATACGAAAACAAATAACTGATCATCTTTCGGCGGCGCGCGAGTCAACGAGTTATCGAAGCTCTGCGAGTTATGAGTCGTCCCCCTCTCTCAGATCTGTCTGTGCGTGCGTATATTCTCCATGGCTTCGTTTCTTTTGCTTGGTGATTGGTTTCTTGTTTCGCTCGCTCTCGTGTAACGCCAGTAAAGCCCGTCGCCTGTGCGAAAGGCGCCACCGCCACCCTCCCCCCCCCCCCCCTCCCTCCCCCCCTCTACTCTTTGCTTTGACGCTTCTTTTTTGTATTGCATTTTGTGCGTATAAGTCTGTTAGAGCTCCACGCGGGTTAGCTGTTTCCCGCCCGCTCATTTTATTTCTGAGCAACTGGCTCGCCGATTTGCTCAAATTCGCTGACCGTAAACACACACACACACAAAAAAAAAGATTAAAAAATAGAAGACCGGGACCATTCCATTCCCATTCCATTCCGGGCAAAAGGCATCTAATTCCATTCCCATTCCATTCCCCTCAACGCTGCCGCCATTCCATTCCCATTCCATTCCGGGGTCGCGAAAATTCGGAATGATTCCGGAATCCTTCCAACTCCGGAGTGGCAACTTCGCAACACTGCTGCCCAAGTTCCCTTCTCTACCGCTCACACTTACGGGAACTAGCTCGCGTTTTTTTTTACTTCACAATAATATGTAATGTGCAATGTCATGCTGGAAATTAATACTCAAATTCTTAAACGGAATCGTACTGCAATACAATATATATATATATATATATATATATATATATATATATATATATATATATATATATATATATATATATATATATATATATATATATATATATTATTCTGAAGGTGTATTCTTAAATAGCCAGGTCAGTATTCACCTATCTCCTTCCATTTTTGTTGCAAATTTGTCAAATAGGTCGCAACTGAAAGCGCGAGAAAATTATCCCACATCGCGAATCACTGACTGCACGAAGGCGCGCCGGCGCAATTGTCATTCAAATCAAAGCCTGCAATTTTGGGAGTGACTACTATAATCGTTGGGTCAGAATCCAGGCTGTTGTGCCTTAACCACGACAACCAACAGAATTAAATCGGCCTGGTTGAAAAATAAAGGAAACAGTCACTTTGTCCCGGGTCCCCCTCTGCAGGTATCCCAAGAACTACAACGAGAGCATGCGCACCCTCGTGAAGGCGTACGGGATCACCTTTGTCATCCTGGTGCAGGGCCAAGCAGGAAAGGCCAGTCTCATCCCCGTCGCCGTAAACCTGGGCTCCGGCCTGGGGCTCATGGTGGTGGTGAGATGGTCGCGCCTGCTTTACTTTCGAGTGTGCATTGTGTACCTCCGCAAAGGTTGAGGGCCTGGACGCAGTGCAGCAGTGAGAGCTTGCGGTCACATAGTCGTATAGCATACGCGGACACAGCAGAGAGCAGCGCCAAGATACGCCCAGTCAAAATAATAGACAACGTGAGCGCACGCCATGGCACATTTGGCTTGATCTTGTGTGAGAAGTTGTTGATACTTGTAGTGGCTACGTACTTCAAAATACATCGATACAGCATGAAATCGAAAAACATCGACTGAGAGATTTTGCATTTTTACGAAGTAGTTGACAAAAAATGAAGTGTTTATAAAAGGACATGCAGAGCCTTCTTAAACGTATTTTTATTAGAAAATAAAATTTCTGTTCGTTGGGATTTTGTTTTTCTGGTTTCATAAACATGTCCTTATAATAAAAAAAAGAAGAAACCCATTTTTTGTCGACTTGAAATTTAGGGTCCTTAGTACAAATGAAAAGGGAGCTCGTAGCTATTTACTATATTCTTACTATTATGCAGCCACTCTTGATTTCTTCCTACTATATTTAGGCCAGCAGAGTAACTCCCGCTCCGCTTTCCCGGGTAAACATTTGGTCCCGACATCACGTGTTTACTATGACCAGCGACAAATAAAACAGAGCGGAATGAAAACTTAAAACCACATTCCATTGAGCATTTCCCATTGTTCAAACAAAAACAGTACACTTACCTTTTTTCCTCTCTTTTCACAACTACCACGTGGTTGTGAAAGCAACCTTAAATAAATAAAAATGTCAGCTTTGCATGCTACGTCACTGTAATTTACCGTAAGAGATAGGCTCGCGGGTGACTTTATTTCTCAACGCACCGGTCCCAATTGAAGGAAACTTGCCTCAATCAGAAATTACGAATAAGAAAGAAAATGTTAAAATGGCTCCCGAGCGAGTTAAGCCTTCTTTAATCCCAAGTAAACATATACTCTGTTGTGGGTCATTAGAATAATTAATTTAACAAAAAAAAAAACCGCTCTGACTTTGTTTTTATTGCCTCCTTTGTATAATCAAATTCCCAAATAAAATAAAAAAAATACTTTTTTTTTTTTTACACTGACTTGGTAAAGACTTAGTTCCCGTGTCTCAAAAGTCGTCTACTTCTTGTGCAGGAGTAGCGGCGACGTCAGAACGACACTGAGCTCTGATGGCTCTGATTGAAAGGATAGCGGGTGGACCTCAATGCAACATGGTTTGAGGTCTACCCAATATTTTTTTTCAATCAGCCAATAAGAACTCGGCGTTCTGACATCATCGCTACCCCTGTGGAAGAAGCAGACGAACTCGCGCTCCGCATCGTGCCGTGGGAAAACTGTCTGATCGAGACCAATGTTTTCTTCGATACTTGCATGAAACCACATTCACCACGTATAGCCTCACTTTCGAGGTAAATTATGGTATCGTAGCATCAAAGCCGATTTTTTGCGATTCGTTTAAATTCGGTAATCATCTGGTCCCTAAAGCGAAGGAGCTACTGTGATCATCTTATTACACGTGCAATATCTGATGCCATTAATTATACTATATGATATTTACAAATGATGATGTTAAACCTAGAACATCACTGTGTCATGGATTATGTGATCTAATCGCCTGCGTGTCATCCCATTGCGTCTGATTACTATCGTTCCTTTAGTCACTGACTGCTTAAAAATCGGACGGTGTGGCGAGTCCTGAGCATCTACTGATCGCTCGGCAGCCAATGAGATTACTGCATTTGCCGATAAGGATGCCGAAGAACCAATCACGAAGAAAGCAGCGTGAGCACAGTAAGTCGCACTCAGCGACTACATGGCATCGTCGGTAAAACACTAAAAATCTGTCAAATCATTATAAAAAAAAAGTACAGAGCATAAGAATTCTTAGTGATCCTCCCTGTCGTTAGCTATTTCATAAGACATATTTTAATTTTACTTGAACATTTTTAAGGTTTCGTGAACATGTTCGCAAACCGTTCTGTACACTTTTCGCTGAAATTCGAGAGGAATCAGTTACCAGTTTCTCCTACGTAGCTTGTACTTTATTGTGTATAAGCTGACATTGAACACAACTGTCTGTTTATTTTCCTCCAGGCCACGGTGGTGTCGGACTTCGTCGTAATGAACTGTCTGAAGCGGAGAAGACTGTACGCAACCAGCAAATACGAGTACGTGAGCAAGGAGGAGCACGAATGTCCTGCTGGTGTAAGATTTATTTATTTGTTTATATTGCCAGCATTCAATTGCATTCCAAGGCAGATTGACATGAAATGCGCGTGGCATGAACATTATCTGCTCTTATTGCTTTAGTTCTTCCGCATGTTCAACAAACACGTTTTGGGCAATCATTATTTCGCAGTAACTTTGTTTTTAATGCGTTAGCATTAGAACGCTTATTTTGACGAAAGCCCAGCGGTGCCTTCCGTTTGTTAGCGCCGCGGAGAAAGGGAGAAGAAGGGGGAGAGGGTGACACGTGCGGCGCTCCCATTGGTCCGAAGCGCTGATGTCCGCACGCGTCAACCTCTTCCTCTCTCCCCGGCGCTGACAAACTGACAGACACCGCCGGGTTTTCGTCAAAACGAGCCCTTTCGTTTTCGTCAGTCACGCGCACAGATGGTGCGGAGCCAGGGAAGAAAAGGCGCCGCGCAACATCTCCAAGATAACGAAGCCGCAGTCGCCGTAGTGCTGAATGAGATGGCGTCATCAGAGAAGGCGAACGCTGGAAATAGATTAGAAACGAGACAACAAAGTTGCGTAAGCGCAGCTTTGTTATCTAGGAGGTGCTGCGCCGCGGCGCGGTGGAATGCAGGCGTGCTCAGTTGCCGCTCTGCCGTTGCCGGATGTTCTTTGTTCTGGGTTTTCGTGGGTAGAGGTGCGTGGGCTGGGATGTGTATGTGTAGCTAAAACGACGAATCCGGTTCCCTCCATGGGTGATGTGGATGCGGTTCCTTTTACGAGTGGTATGGATGGCGTCTTTTCACGAGTAATATAGATGACCGTATCCAAGGGCGTCGCGTACTTTGACAGGCAAAGTAGTGAAAAGGGATGAAAAAAAGAATTACAGGAAGATATATTGGTGGGTTCTTAGAGAATCCGTTACCATGACACTTGGGAAACGCCATACACGTTTCCCTTTGGGAAACGCTAACACTGACCCCGTAACGAGGCCAAAAAGAGGCAGCAAAATATAGACGAAGCAAAGGAGAAAGCCAAAAAAGAAAGCCAAAAGAGAAAAGTGAAGGGGTCAACGTTAGCTATTCCCAATGGGTGACGTGTGTGGCGCTTCCCAAGGGTCATGCTAACGCATTCCCTACGAATCCATCAATGGATATTCCTGTAATTCTTTTATATGCTTCAAGTGGTAGCGGAGGAATGGTTAATTTGATTATTCTCGGGCTAAATCTGGTTGTTGAAAGTCTACCTTATTTTCTGACTCTAGTGAGCATTTGACTTCGCTTAGATAGCCCCGGTGCAAGGTCCACACGGCGTGCATAATCTGCACGTGGGGCTTAGTCGACACAAAAATATTTGCACACCGCACACTTCGGCAAATGTCTGCTTTTTTTTGCTCACGAAGAAGCTTGCACCTTACATAAATCATCATTAACATGCTCTTTCACTCACAAAATTCGTCTCGTCATAATGAACGATCTTCAAAAATAAAATTCCTGCATAGTCCGCACCTGTAGATAGTACGCACCGAGTAAACTTTTAACTTTTAAAGATGTATAGTCCTCCGACTATAGAGCGTGGTACTGCTTGAGTTTTTTTTTTATATGCGTGCAGCGATCGCTTCAGTTTTGTAGAACTGGGACTATGCTTTTTGAGTCGAATTTGTCATCGTAAAATAAAAAAGGTTCCTAAAAATAAATTAAAAAATCACCTGTTTTTTTTTTTTCTTTTTTCGTTTTCAGAGTCGTGACGCCGTGGGATGTTCTGGACTTGAAACTTTCTGTTTGACCTCGTAGCTGTAACGCAGCTAACGAGCTAACCAGAGTTCTCCTTAGCGCGAACAAAACAGATTATTTTTCAGCGTTTTCACCATTCGTTTTCGACCCGGAACCACTGTTCAAAGACTCCCCTTTCTGGAAAGTGTCATTGGTAACAAGGTGTCTGTGCCAGGGTTCCATTCAACCACTTCGACGTATACCGGAAGCCTACAGGTGTTAAAGGGGTACTCCGGCGATTTCTCGATCTGCCCCAACTAACTGTATTTTCGGAATCACCGGCTTTTACCCTTTCCGGCATGCTATTTAATATTACGAAATCCAAAATAGTAATTGTAAAATCGGCAAGTGAAAATGATGCCAAAACCAACATTCAAATATACTCGCGCTTTCAGTTCCCAGACGTCAGTGGGGGAAAGGCTTGCAGGTCGAGCGAGCTTCCAAGGCATTCATTTGACACCGTGAAACTGCTTGTAATGAGTTGGGAACAAAGCCCAAAAAGTGTACCCCTGGGTACAGTGGCTACCCTGGGCCTACCGCTGACATCACGTTTTCGTAGTTGCCAGTATAGACTTTCACTTTGAAAACCATGACTGTGACCAAAATTGTATATTCCATATCATCGCGAAAATTTTATTTGCCCCAATATTTCGGTGACTATTTCAGCGATGTTTGTTGTTGTGCTTAGAAAATTTTCAGGTATATCGGGGACTATGAAGATAACGCCGGAGTACTCCTTTAAGGCGCCAACACACATTCCTTGAAGATATAATAAACACGTGGGTGGCATTTAGCAAAAAAAAGTTGGATATAATATATATATATATTTTTTTTTTGCCTTTCTGTTTGCTGATGATTACTGTCTCGAGTTGGCACATTACTAAAAAGGGATAAGTAGCGCGAAAAAAAAACAAGGACGAAAAAATTCACACACACACAACAGGTGCTTTTTTTTATTTTTTGCTTATTTTTTCGTTATTTTTTGTTCGAGATATTTAATTAGTTTTCTGTATGAACAAACTAATCTGATCAAGAGTTGCGTAGCACTTTCTATTAGTGTGTAAAAATGCTTCATTCACCGAATATAAACGAACTGATATGTAAGATGGGTCCCTCCGTCTCCGCACCTGTTCTTGAATTAAGAAGGGCACCGACGCTCTAACAGCAGACAACTGCTGGTCCTATAATTAACTTTTGTTCGCCCAAGGTCTTAACATAGTGTGATCAATGCGAGGTATCATTGTGTAAACTTTCATAACCCTGACGAACGTCCCAGGGAGCTGGAACCTTATCAAGTCGCTATTGAGCAGAATTTTCGCCCCAGTCCTTTGTTGTCATGTGCCCTTTTGACCATGTAACAGCAAATAAAATTGATTTGATCTGAAGCAATTTTTCATTCCTTACTTCGTTAATAAAATAATAGGTGGGAGAAATTGAGAAGGTGAAACACACATATGATAATCTTCGAAGTTTGGAAAAGCAAATCAGCCGCCACAAGGTAATGGACTAATAGTCATGGTATACTTTTGTAGTTCTTGCCGTGGTTACGGGTCATCGCTGATCCACGCGCTGTAGCTCAGCTTTGTGAAAAGCGATTGGAAGGACTATACGAATATATCCTTCAAGAGCGTTGTCCGAGTCCGGACTCATGGCATTTGCTGGCCCAACAAACTGGGCGATATGTTGAGATACAAGAGCCGTACCAGATTAATTTACACTTTTTTTTTTGCTGCAGACACCGACTATCTAAAGGTTGATAATTATATCCACTTTCTCGATATATTCCTCCTGGAGTCGAATGCGTTTGAGCCACCGATGTGGCAGCTTTTCCTGCCCTGCCAGATCCAATTTTTGATAGTGCATCACACCAACCTCTTGACAACTGCTTCCAGCCCACCATCATGACTGTTAAAAGGCGTGCCTGCAGTTCTTTTTTATTTCTTCGAAGAGGTGATGATCACTGTAAGTCAGGTCGAGACCCCAGTGAGTTGACGAAATGCGGCAGAGTACACCGTAGCGTGTCACTGCACTCTGAAGTTGCAACAATCACGGGAACTCCTCTCTACCCTTGATACAAAGTCGACCGATTTTCTCTGCGAATTGCAGCAAGACAGCCATCGGAAAGCTCGCTACGCTGTGCTCACGTGTAACTGCCAAGGGAGGAACTGGGAGGACGGAATACCGTTGCCTAGCGATGCCCTTTTCTTCGCATGAAGACAAATAGAACTGAGAGACCGACCGACTTTAGTCTTTCGACTTTCATTCCTAGCGGCCGACCTTACTTGATTCTAGAGCGAGCGAGCGTTTGGGAGAGAAAATTACGACAGTTTCGAAGTTTCCTTTGTGTTCGCCAAGCCTCCGATCTTACGCTTTTTCGATTTCGAAAGGCACGGTTGTTTGAAGTTAGACAAACCTATGTTTATCACTATACAGGGTGTTTGCTTTTAATTCGAACATATTTTTAGATCGGACGTGGTTAGTCAAGTTCTGTCTTCGTCGTGTATCGATCAAGCTCGGCGGACATTGGATGAAGGGAATACTCGTCACACTAGGTTAACTAATTAACTAACACGTTTTAGCGGTTTACACATTTTATTTAATTATTGATTTCAGGGGTCATTTTAGAAATTCAGTATTGACGGCAATTGCTACTAGAGGCTAGACTAACTTAAAGAATTCGCTGAAAGGTAATGATCATTTAGTTATTAATTGATCAATGTTCGTGCTTTTCTTACAGGATATAGAACCTGCACTAAAAAAAAGAAAGCTTCACAAGCCCTGCCCACAATGACAGCTGGAAGAGTGACGTCGTCGTTTCAATAATGTTCTCACTCTTGGCAGACGCACCGACGACAAACGTGACGACGCGACTAAAACGACTACGTCACTGTTCCAAGCGTCATTGTGGGCGGGGCTTGCTGCGCTATTTTTGAGCGCAATTTTCAAATCCGGCGAATAATATCTGTAAAAAACAATTACCTTTTCGCAAATATTTTAAATTGGTTTGGCCTCTAATGGTACTTGCCGTCAATACTGTAATTCCTACATGAGCCCTAAAACCAATAATTTAAAACTTATTCCTAAATATTAATTAACTAGTCAACTTAGCGCGACAATTAACCCCTCATCTAATGTCCGCCTAAGCCGATAGATACATGGGTAAGACTAGTGTACCTACATGTTTCCGCTCCGGAACGGAGCGGCGGAAACATGTAGGCACCCTAGGTAAGATGGCTCTCGTTTATCTCTCGCCCTCGTTTCTAAAAAAAAGTCTGTTCTAATTAGAAACAAGCACTCGGTATAGTAACCGCTCAATCATTTTGGAAGGCAACAAAGGTTTAGGAAACCATTACTGTTATGGCAATTTCGAGCGGGATCAATACCAAATTTTAGCAGTATGAGGACCTACGGAGCTGCTTTACCACACCATAATTGAAATGCGGTAGTTACGTAGAAAACTGATTGGCGCAAAAGGTGTGCTGAAGCCACCGTTAGTGTTCCTGGATATTCCTGGATATGGACTAATATTAAAGAAAGTGGACGTTGAGTGAAAACCATAAAGAAAAAAAAAGTATATTTTATTGGCTGCCTTCGCACGTCACTGGTTCGGTGTTACAGAAAACACCAAACAATTGTCGTTCTCCCTGCAATGCAAGGCAGTATGCCCCACTATTTAAACGACGGTGTTCCTAATTTTTTTGGCACCGGGTTCGAGACGCAGTCACTAAACGCAAAACAAAGCGGGGACCTGTTCCAGATGCTCGTGGCTTCCCGAATCTGCGGCTGGCTTGTAACGTCTCGTCTGGAGCAGTTCAGTAGATAAACCGCTCTCAAACCTCTTCGCTAATTCGTCTGGGTCTGCAATGGGTGAAGGTCGTAAAAGCGCACCGGCCAGTCGACTCGCTGGTCAATTTATCTTCATTTGTACGGACGACCGCTGGGCAACGCCATTTCATTTCGGCCTCCCCTTTTTCCCCTTCCGGCCATCCCAATGGCAATCGCCAGAGACTCCCGCGGCTGTCGCCATGTCGAGTCGCATCTTCACGGTCGAGCCCAGGTCCTGCGACGACGACCCTGACACGACGGATCCCTTCAGAATAATCCTTACATCCCTCAACCTGTTGGGCGTCTTTTCGCTTGGTCCTTCAAGCGGTGGAACCATCTTCAGGAGATGCGTCATCGCGTACCGGTCGGTGGCCACCTTCTACATCCACTACGTGGCGTTCGCACACCTGTAGAGCCTCTCCTCCGGTGTCCGGGGCTGGACAGACATAATCACGTCCTTCATCGCCTGCTCTTCTGTCTTCACGCTCGATTCCTTATTCCTCAGACGTGAACGAATGGAATGCCTGTTGTTGAGCATGCGGACCTGTCTTGCGGAGGGATCCGTCAAGGCGCGTTGGGCAGTCTTGCGCAAGTCCCGCGTCTGCACCGTCTGCATCTGGACCTACCTGGCGGCGTTCATTGTGAACAGCATCTGCAGCGTGACGCTGTCCAATCCGCAGAGTTCGTGGGACTCCTACCTTCTAGGGGCGAACGCAAGCCGTGTTTCCGAAAGGAAGGCGAAAGCCGTCGCTCTCGTGGCTACCACTCTGCGGCTCTATCTCGTCGATGGACCGTGGTTCTTCGTCATGGCGCTTTTTGTCTTGAGTTGCTGGGTACTTCGAGCAAGCTTCAGGGACCTCGAGGAAAAGGTAGGACTTGTATTTTTGTGCACATTTAATGAGCAGTTTTTAGAATCAGGACAACCATGTAATATGCAGTGGTGAATTATTTAGCTTACATCCGGGTTATGGTAATATCGACAGATATCCATAAGTAAATTTATCGTCTAGAGGGTATTGCCAGGATGTACATATTCATTATCCGAGGAGTAATTCCCCCAGTAAGTCTGCGTGGTCAACTTGTACCCGAGGCCGTCATGTTGAACACGTATTATTTCAAGAAACCACTGTGCAGACAAATAGTCACCAGCAAAACAAGACTAGTAGCTTCCATCATTTAAAGAAAAGCAAATGTAGCATTTTATATACCGATTCCATTCACACTCAATTTTTGTCATCTTGTTTTGTGTAATTATAATGTACAAACAAGTTTAGGACGTCTAGAAATCTAGAACACAAAGCCATCATAAGCCAAGCACCGGATTGGGAACTTGGAAGATTGACACAAAATGAAGAACTTGCTTTCCCGCTGAAGTAAAAATATTATAACACGTGGAAAACTGACCTCCGTACAGACATGTTGAGCTTCAAGATTGCTTCAGATTTTATAAAGTTAGAAAAAGTTCTGGTGTGTTCAGTTATACCACCCGGTAAGACTGTTCAATATGAAATTTATCTTTTACGTTAAGTTCTCGAAAGTCTGACTCCCTTTATTTTGCGATTCCTTTACATTCAAAACCTCCAATCAGGCGGATGGTCTTCTTTTGAGCTCTTTGGTATTGCTTCAGATATTCTAAATAACTATTTTTATATGTCACACGCCGATAATGCTATTGCAATCTTGCTGTAACTCAGATAGTAGAATAGCAGAGACTAAAGATCAAGTAAAAAAAAATCGTTAGACGGGTTCAAAACATTTGCTTTTTTATCATGATGTAATACGCCAAAAACACGGTCGAAAACTAGGGAAGAACTGGACAGGACGCCGCTTCCTGTCCAGCTCTTCCTTCGTTTTCCTCCGTGTTTTCTGGCGTATTACACCATGATGCAAAACCAACTAGCCCAACTAACCATCCTTGTCTTTCTAAACCAGACGTCTTGTAGCTTTACTTAGTTGACGACTAGCCATTTCTAGTTTTGTAAAACGTCCATTTAACAAATCTTAGGTAGAGCAAAAAAAAAATCTACCTAATACTGGTCCACCTCCTTAATACGAGCCCCGTTATCGTGAATACCCCGCTATATCGACAACATTTTAGGGAGCAAACTGGGTAAATTCATGCATTTTTGTCTTGTTAATATAAACAACTCACATAATGAACGGGGTCTTTTTTTTTTAGGGAACGAGTGTTCATATAAACGAGCCATTACTGTAACAGATTAGTGCATTAATCAAAGACTACTCTGTGAACTAATTAATCTGTAAAATGTCGACCATACTAGCATGTTGTCATAGTCAACATCGAGGAGTTAATTACTTCTAAGACTTATGCTTCTCCGGGACGCTATAGGTGCACAGCACGACGAAGTTGAAGCCGCACATACGTCTGCTACATGTATAGAAAGCTGCCATAACCCGCAGGGAAATATCGTTAGAAATTAATGTCACGACTGTACTGTGAGTTACTATTGCCGCGAGGAACAACCAGTAAAGTACGTCAGTAAAAAGGTGTATACGTCTCTTTCTGTTTTCTTTTCTACTGTCATGAACCCATAGAAAT